ATTCACTGGAAGCAAATGTTTTTAGCACTTCTATTGACGGTGTGAAAATAGTTGAAATCGGGTGGCAACTCCGCCCACTCCATATATAACGGTACTGTTAAAAACTACTAAAAGCGCGATAAATCAAGCACTAAACACGCCAGAGACATTAAATTTTATCTCTAAGATGGTATAAGATGACTTTATGGGAACCGCGTTCAAAATTAGACAGTGGGCGTGGCACAGCCCACTTTTAGGTGAAAACCCATATCTTGAGATCTGCTTAACCGATTTCAACCAAATTCGGTGCGTAACGTTCTTTTCATGTTTCTATGTCATGGTGCGAAAATGGGCGAAATCGGATTACAACCACGCCTATTTTTCATATGACACCATTTTAAATACCACTTGATTCTTTCACTTTCCACTATGCAAATTAAGCAACAATGATTATATCGGCGTAAAACTTTGCGTGAATAATACGTTTAAAGTATGCCACCTTGTGACCAAACATTTTCTAAATCGAACCAAAACTGTTCAAGCCCCTAGGTACTGAATATGTGGACCCCAGTACCTATAGTTGACCTTCTACCGAAAATATCATTCAATCCACAAAGAAATCTCAAACGAGTATACCATTTGACTTTGCGAGAGTATAAAATGTTCGGTTACATCCGAACTTATCCCTTCCTTACTTGTTTTCATTTTAAAATTCTTTTCATGGTTCGCTCGGTTTTAAATGAATATATAGCTTTCGTTCAGAAATTTGAATTTTGTTAGCTATTTTTTGTATTATGCAAATATGTATGCATAGTATAATAAAAATATTTTAAAAAATTGTGAATATGGAGAAAATTAAGTTACTCAAAAATATTTTATTAAAATTTTGAATAACATATTGCGGTATTAAATGCAATAATTTACGAGTACACATAAATGAATTCTAAGAAAAATGGTAACTAGTTTTTTTTTTACTTAAAATCTTAAGATGCTTTTATATATGTTTGTTTAAACCGCAAAGGATTTAGTTCGAATATCATTTTACTTAAAACAAGAATTGTAAGTAATTGAAGAATGTTTTATAATCAAAAAATAGAAATTATGGAGTTTTAATACTTTAAATATTTAGGAAATTCCTGTTATAAATTTGGCCTTGAAAGCAACACACTCTAAGAGTCACGTAGTCGAACCGTACAAACATTTAGGAAAAAAGCGTAGAGAGGATTTGCCGATAAACCAAGGCAGACTAAGTACTTTTATCATTTATTGAGTGTGGTTGCTTAATGTCAACGGACCGTTGTCATTTCGAGATATACATACGTAAAATAAATGAACAACAAATATATAAATATGCAAGCCTTGCACTAAACTTGCTAGAAGATGACAATCATTGGGGCTGTTACCAACCAACATTATATTGCAAAGGAACATGAATGCATCTAATATTTGCTATAGTACTGATGACATGTTTCCCGACTCGTTCACAAATGTTGGATGCAAAGATTCGATGACTGATGATATATTGTATCGACATCGTACAATGTGCAATAATCTAATGATATCATTTAGTAACGTAAAATACAATGAAGCATTGATCATTGCATTGTCATAGCTATTTTACCAATCAGTAATTTCCGTATAAGTTCACCTAATCGAAATATATCTAATTAAATCAACACAGATATAAATAGCGAAATAAAGTATGATACTGTCGAATTGGCAGTGACTGTTTCTCGCGTTTCAGCAGGGTAAGGGGGATTATTGGAATATATGTTGGCACACAAACATTTGCATTGGCATTGGATAGGATATTTTAACTCCTTTCAGGTGAATTCAGACAGGCACTTCCCGTAATGTTAAAAAGTAAAAAAAAAAATGCCAATAGAAAAGTAGCTGTACATGATGATACTGGATGCATTAAATTACTGACGGATTCCGCTACAATCATCAACTCACAGAATACTCTCATCCACAGTTCATTTTCCGATGTACACACAAAATATAAAAATCTTGTGTAAAAAAGTGGCTGGCAGAAATATTAATTTTGGCAGCCAAAAATGTGGACGCAATGGATTAATTTCGAAGATACAACAGTTGTTGCCAGGGGACTTGGTGTTATACAAATCTATCGGTGCTGTTTGCGATGCCAACGAAGCTTCAATGAACAGCTTTTGAATTCATTGGAGATGCCGGGCATGTCATCGCACCATTTACAACTGAAGGTTATACCACGGCTTTGCAACGGCGCAAGATTAGTCGTGAGCAAATCATTCAGTTTGTTTGTATTCGCTAAAGATAGACTGAGCAAAAATATTGTACACTTCATTACGTTGAGAGATTGATCTTTATACACTGAACAGGGTATATTAAGTTTCCCATGAAGTTTTTAACACCCAGAAGGAAACGTCGGAGACCCTAAAAAATATATACATAAAGAATGAGCATGATGAGCTGAGCTGATTTAGCTATGTCCGGCTGTCTGTATATATACGAACTAGTCCCTCAGTCTATAAGCTATCGATCTGAAATTTTGAACCAGTCGTTTCCTCACCTGCCATACAAGCTAAACAATCGAAATCAAGTGCTTGTATGGGAAATTTTTTTTTTAACATAATATCTTCACGAAATTTGGCATGAGTTATTCCCTAAGGCAACAATGTGATCTCCGAAGAAAATCCGTCTTTCCAAGGATTTGTAAAATTTCAGTCGGGGAATTCACTTCACAAGCAGGATAATCAAATAACATTTTTCGCTTTTATAACAGCGGGGAATCTGTACACATACTGCTCTCTTAACAAGCCCAACCGACGAATATTGAAGAGAATAAAATAGGTATGCCAAACAGGGAATATTAATATGCTATTTGAAATATATTCCCTTTTATTGAACTATTATTATTTTTTAAATTATTTTATATTAATTCAGTTTTCTTTATTGTGAGTTATTAGTAATAATTTAAAAATATTTTGATATATTTCTTAAAATTATTCATTCACTTGACACCATTATGGAGTCACAAAAGTACAGAATTGTGTTTGCCGTCGGCATTTCACATTCATACTACATTTTGCTTTTCTCAAACAGGAAATTCCTTGGATATGCAATGTACGAATGTAAAGAAATGCGTTTTGCCGTCGGCATTTTCATATCACGGTTTTTGCTTTCATATCAGAGAGTCAGCGTGTCGAAGGACTTATGCGACGACAAAGCGTCACAAGCGTTGGTAGAAAATCCGAGATGTGCCGAAAAAACAAACGAATGCTTGCCGATTTTTATCGCTTTCTTGCCGCTTTGCTAATGAACGGGCATACATATTGACGCAGATTTATTCTGTGTTTTGTGGGTGTGCATGGTTGTCACTTTTTCCTTCTAGAGGGAGAGAGAGTTGTTCAATTTATGATTTCTAGCTTTTGCCATAGTCGCGAAAAGAAGCATGTGAGCAAACGCATGCTCGGGGAGATGTGTAAGGCTTTTGCTTTTATGAATGGAGCCACTTAGCTTATTGCATGTGTGCCAGCGTTCATGAATAAAAATGTTGTTGTGTGATTTACTATACATTTAGGCTTTGGCTGCCATATTGTTGTTTTGTACAACAACGTTTGTATATTTTTCAATTGGCTGACATACTTACATTTGTAACATCTATGTTGTATATTTGTGTATGCATTACTTATTTTGCAATGCCATACGCATATTTGTACATACATACTTACATATAGAGCAGTGCGGGCACATGTATTTATTGATGAGTAATAATATCAAAATTATATTCCTCCATATGTACATACCAGAGAATGTAAATGAACTCCATATTAATGTACATAAGTATGTATGTATGTACATACATAAATTATTAATTTTGTAACAACTGAAATTAGAAAATTTTTAAAAAAGTAAAATATTTTTTTTTTTGCATAATCTTTCGTATTTTATCATGTCTCACCTGCACCCGCTGTCGAACCTGCACTTCTCGTTCATTTACGTTCTCTGATTTAACAACTTCTGAGCGGTAGCGGAGCGATACTAATGCGACGTTGCTTTTACTCAAAATATAGCAATTCGAGAAAATTTCAGCATCCTCTACAACTTTCCCTAATAGTTTTTCGATGATTTTCAAGAACAATTTATTCTCTGTTTCGATGTTTTTTTCGCTTGTTGACGTAGTTGCATCTCCAGGATGCTCATCGTCATCAAAATTCAGCGTTTCCTTTGAACACATCTCGTATATATTAGTTAAGTTAATAAAAACAAGCAGGGTGCGTGGAGTCCCTCCGCGCGGAAGAAATGAAACTTCATGATGGCAAAATTAAAAATAGGAAAGCATTTAAATCAATGTTATTGTAACACAATATATTTGGCAAACACAAATTTAAATTTTTTTTGACAAACTTTTTTTTTTAATCTCATTTTCACTTTTAGTGGCCACTGTATTGATATTCATAATATTATTTACAAGTGGATTATGATAGCTAAAATAAGATATGAAATATTAAATTTCTATCTTATTAATTTTTCTGGCGAAAACTGCATCAGTAGTGGTCCCTCGTTGGATTATCTTTGAGGAAAAGTATGGTTATTATTGTGGAGCATGAAAATATGTTTTCCGCGAAGTTGTAAATATAGACACGTAACCAACAACCTTCAAATCAACAGTAACGTTCCTTCACATATCCTCGACTACACTGTAGCCTCCTTTTCAAACATTTTAATTAAATTCAAAACCAAGAAATATAATATAAGTACAACGAACAATATGAAGCGTTTAAAATTTGCCAGAATGTAAAAAAAGAAAGATTTTAGATTCGGAAGACGTGATTCACAGATGAATTAAAATGTAACATTAAACTTGTGGGTGTATGAATATGAATTTTGCGTTTGTGAATTATTACTTTCATGTTTTTATTGAAAATTTTTACTTTATATATAAAAATCGATACATTTGGTATACTGCACTAATTTCTTTAGTTGCACAAATCCGCCAACTTCTTCCAAAACCGCACAAATTGTATTTAAAAATTATGTCCGGACGGCTCGAACGCCTTTCCGTCTACCAAAACCTACACACACGAGTTATGCACATTAGGAATAATCGCGAAGGTCAACTCAGCCAAAGTGCAATGGCCAAGCCTCGCTCCGGAGGGACCGCCTTTATGATCACGGTAATCTCTACGCCAGGTAAGTATGCTTTGTTCAGCATACAAGCAGTCTCTGGAACTACAACTTGTTTAAAGTAGCTGAAAATTACACAGTAACAAGATATTAATAGAATAGCGGAACGAAAATTTTAGTGGTAATTCGGAATTTCTTGCTCTGCTGCGCTAAACGGGGTTGAACGAATGCGCTTGATAATTTTGCTCGTAGGTATGTATGTACATATATATGTGATGCTTCACTCACTAAGCCATTTGCTGCGTAGCTCTCTTTCTCTTTCTTTCTCTTTGCTCACTAGTAGATGCGTCATACACCCTAACCATTGCGCGGTTAACGTTTAACGCAACTTTTTCCTAACTCATATTAGAAGTTTTACTTCAATAAATTCTAACGTTTTGCCAGGTCCATCTTGTTATTAGCATAGGGCAGAGTTAATTATCCATATTAATATGAGGCATGTGCGTGCGCTTCGTGCATGGCATAACCGTAAGTGGAGGGAGAAGCATGGTGCGTGAGCGAAGCCAATAGTACAGCTGGAGCGGCGGCAACGTGATGCGCAACGGCCACTTGGAAACTGGAGCGGCATGGTGGATGGTTGGGGCACTCTTCGAGACGATTGTGTTAAAATCGTTATAATCATCGGCGGTGTATTCGACAGTGCGCACCGAACCGTCGAGCACATCGTGCTGTGATTTAACATCGCCGATAGGCGAGTCGGCAACATCATAGTTGTAGTGGTATTTGGAGTACGTCTTGCGAACATGGAGAAAACATATATGTATGTGATTAATTAAGTTTTTGTTATTTAAAACAAGTAAGGAAGTACTAAGTTCGGGTATAACTGAACATTTCGTACTCTTGCAACTTTCAAGGGTCAAATCCGGCTAAATACCTTCATGTGTTGGCAAAAGTTCATACTAAAATGTGTTGCGAAAGAATTCAATATTCATTATTCGACGAAATCGTGAATGAATTACGATCACATTTGGTATTTTAATAAGCTATATTGAGATCATAGACTCAGTTAGTTTTATAACTATATGTTATGTTACTTGCCGTCAGCGAAAATTATATTAAAATCATCCTCAAATCAGATATAACATATGCGACATATACTTAACCCAACAGTCTAAATTTAATACATATATTGAGATGATGGGCAAAACGTCAATCAGAAGACCGCAATTGATGATATTAGGAATATGAGATTAAGACCAATGTCAAGATCAACTGCAATCATGTTCAGCAGTTGTTATAATGACGCAAATTTTTATATGTAGTATAATATATTATAATTTTACATATTTTCGGTATTAAACTAATATATATCCAATATTATATAATACGTTCAGTTAATTTTGCTAAGATATCTTACATATTAACCGATATATACGGTATACGGGCAACCGGAAGTTTGAAAATCTTTTGTTAGGTATATGGGAGATTGACACGATTTTATCTATTTTTGGCACTACTACATATTATTAATAGAAACTGCTGTCCTCTGAGATTCACTTAGATACATCCCATACCGCCAACAATATACTCCTATAAAATAGTGATATTAGTTATATGGGGGCTAGTGCAAGTTTTCATCCAATTTTATCTATTTTAGGCACAGAGATGCACCGTTAGGTGAAATCCACGCTCACTCAACTGACATACTGGCCGAAATATGGGGTATAAAGTCAGTCGGAAGTTCAAAAATCTTTATATTAGGTATTTGGAAGCTAAGGGAAATATTGACTCGATTTGACCAATTTTTGACATAACATACAGATATACTATTATGCAGAAAGAATTCTCTCCTAATTTCAATAATATATCTCACAAATTGACTGATATTTTCGGTAGAAAGTCTGCCATAGGCTTTAAGGTCCACATTTACGGTATCTAGGAGCTTTAATAGTTGTGGTCCGATTTTGACAATTTTTAGACCAGAGATGGCACACCATAAAGGTGTAAAATATTCGTGCACATTTTTATCATATAGATACATATGTTCATTGGTTAGTTGAAAATATCAGATGGAATTTAAAGTTGTGTTATATGGGAGGTAGACGTGGATGTAGTTTGATTTCGCTCTTTTGAGCACTGTAACATGGTACAGTGGGATAATGTTACCTACCGAATTTGGTTGGAATTGGTATAATACGCTCAGAGATGCCAGTTATGGCAATGTATGGGTTTTCTATTAATGGCGTTTTTTTGGCGTGGCAGTGGTCCGATCACGCCCATCTACGAGCTCGTCCTCACTTTTTTTTGCTAAGGAACATTAAGTATCATTACGATATCTCAATTTTTAGCCAAGTTACAGCTTGCACTGACAAACGGACGGACCGACAGTCAGTCGGAATTCAACTCGCCTCGTTATCCCAATTAGTTACATATGTTATATATACGATATACATATGTACAACTCCATATCTATCTCGACTAGTTTTAGGTGATATAAACAAAACTATGATACTCTGTAGCAACATTTTGAAAGAAGATTGCGTTCTACTTGCATGGCCCAACGTGAGAAGAATTGCTTGCTAGTTGTGGCATGTCACTTGCTGGTGTCGCTGGATATGACTATTTACTATATTTTACTTCCCGTCAGCGAAAATTATACTATATCCTGAAATGAGGTAAATATATCTGATATGAACTCAACCACAGATGCTAAATGTAATATATTGTGCTGATGTGAAAAACGTCAACCAAAGGATTTGAATTCATTATATTAGGGTTACGAGGTTTAGACCAAGAACAATTCATTTATATTGAGCGCCAAACCAGTAATATAATTTTATAACTTTTAAGAAAACTTGTCCACTTAATTTCATTTAAATATCACATACTATGACCTAAACGGTTTAAAGTCAGGTGGAAAGTCGGAAATCATTATATAGGATAATTTGAGGGCCGAGAAATGGAAGGGCTTATTGCATTAACATTTGACATTGCTCAGAAATACTTGAGAACTAATGTTCAAGCAATTTTATGAACATACATACTTATCAATATAAACATACATAAGGAGTAAAGTCAACCGGCCGTTTCAAAATCCTGAATATCAGTTATATGGGGGCTAAGGCAAGTTTTCGCCCGATTTTATCCATTTTAAGCACAAAGATACACTGTTATTTGAAAAACACGCTCTCTCAATTTCTTTAAAATTCTTAGCACATTGGCCTAAGAGTATATGGTATGTTATGTGGTATAAAGTCAACTGGAAGTTCGAAAATCTTTATATTAAGTATATGGAGGCTAAGGGAAGTATTGATCCGATTCAGCCCATTTTTGACACAAGGGTGTATTACTATGAAAGAAATATTTTCAATCCCCGAAATCAATTTCCCCAAATTTCAATTAAATCGAGAAATATTGAACAAAATAGTTCCGCAAAAAGTCAGCCATACGCATTGGGGTGCACATATTTGGCTTATGGGTTCTTGAAAAGTTATAGTCTGATTTCGACAATTTTTGAGCGTGAGAGCAAATACCTGGAGGCAAGTTATCTGGATACATTGATCGGTTCTTGATTTTTTTACGTACCGAATTTGGTTTGAAATTTGTCCATTAGATTCGGAGATATGGATTTTTACTTAAGTGTGAGCGGTGCCACACCCATCGTCCAAATTTTATACTGGCTCCTATAAAATCCTCCTATACTATCTCCGGTGTAAAATTGTATGCCTTTGAATCATTTAATTATGGGGTGAGAGCGGGATAATAAGCCCATTTTACCCGTTTTCGCACTGTCGATAGGGGTTCTTAAGATATTTGTCCTTAGCGAATGTGGTTATTTTAGCTTTGTTGGTTTAGGAGATATGTACGTAAAACCTATTAGAGATCGGAGCAACGCCAGTTTTTTGAAAGATTTTAGTCCACAGGTGCCCCTATCTACTGCAATCCCCTGTACCAAATTACAGTTTTGTATCTTAATTTAGTGCATATTTATAGCAGTGGTTCGACCACGCTGATCTATTTACTCGTTCTTACATTTTTGCCACGGACCAAGTGTACAAAGTTTTAATAGGATATCTCAATAATAACCCAAACTTTATTAAATATTTAAACTTGAAGAATGTATCATATATACAACTTTATGGATTTAGTAAATTTTAATTATACATTAAAATGCAACCATGTATGTCCCACTATTCGTCTGTGCTAGATCGCCTTTGCTTACCCTTTTGCGTTGGCTCATTCTCTTTTGTCTCGCTGGCGAAGTTGTACCTACAAGGAGCATAATTATTTTAGCGAACGATCGAACGATGGAGCAAACGTATTATTAAGTAACCAAAACTACTGAAGTTAAATAAAATACGAATCGGCTTAAAACATGTAAGTGTTTTACTTTGCCACCCGCTAACATTCTCAAATATTTGTGGAATTTTCTATCATACATAATAGTGATATTTGTGGAAATTTTAGCTTCAAATTAACTGATAACTGGCTTGCGGAGTACCATTTGCGAAGTCGTTATACCTGACATGAGGAATCTAGACAGTGCCGTTATAAGTTCGTTTTGATCCGCTGGCGTGAACAGGGCTTCGAGCCAACCACTAGCATATGTGGGCATGCTTAAGAGACATAACCACGTTGGGCTCTATAACAAACTACCCTCATTTGTCGGTGGACATCAAATGAACTCAACGTTTGCTGATTCTTCCGCAACCAAAGTACCGTTCCAATGAGTTTCGTTCATAACTCCACTTATGGAGGCAACGTCTGCCAAAACGCACAATTCCTTGTGTTTCATCTTTGTGTGAAAGAGATTCGTGCTTTGCTGCCGCGCAATAATAACCCTTCCTTTCAGCACGTAACTGTGTCAAGCAACCACATTGGGGTTTTGCGCCCGTCAATGATAGTGTATGGAGGCAGTTTAAGAATAATTCTGACTTGAGTTTAAACTCCTAACGCATAGCGTCTAGATAAGCGTTAAACAAAGATTTTCCACGTTTATCCGGAAAAGCAGAGAATTAATCAATATTTATAACAAACTACGAGCAGTCAAGAGAATGCTCGCCGGTTTTCTGAA